GGCAGTTCGAATGAAGAAGGGGCTCTGCGATGGCGAAATCGAAAGGCTTGTGGCCGAAAACGAAACTATGGGGACGCTGGCTTTTTCGCCTAGCTTTATCATGAACGTTGCCTCGCTCGAACTTTCTGGCCCTATTATTGCGTGCACTTCTTCGTTCTTCACTAAATCCACCACTGCAAGTGCAACCATAAGCACATCACTTCTTTATTAATTAATATAACTGAACGATAAAAATAGAATGGCATGATTTCAAATAAGAATGATAAACCCATGGGAACAAAAGAAAAAYACAAATAAAAGAATATTTATTTTTGTTATTTCCAAAATTTATATACAACATTGAAAATGTTTATAGAAAATGAGAAACAAGTAGCATACATAGTTGTTAAGTGTTTAGATTTTTTAATAAATTGAAAATGAGAAATGAATGTTATAAAACAATCCTTAGATCATGGATATAGTTTAGTAACTAAAAGTCTGACTATTTATTTTTTAGAAAAATAAATCCTCCATCTTTTTTGTATTCCTATTTTGCTATTAGTAAAAATACAAGGATGATCRGATTGATACTAACAAGTGGTTACGCACAACTGTTACAATTTTTAAATAATTTTTTTAAAATTTTTTGTTCTAATCACCTTCTAATTTTAACCCAAAAAAAATTCATTAGTCAAAATCAAATTAAATCTTATCAATACACAAAATCAAGACTGAAATCATTTCCTGAAACTTACAAAATTATAGAGTACCGATATTTTAAAATATATCATGCTATCTTTTCTTTTTCTTGTTTTCTCTATATGGGGACTTATTTGGTTTGGAATTTCTTGCCGAGGAAGAGTTTATGAATGTAACAAGAAGACTATTTTATGTGATACCGAAAATTCTATTAATTTTATTTCTTTCTCTGATATCTTTTAAACGAGGAGATCATTTTTGTATGCAATTTTTCTTGATTGAGTGGAAGATTTTATTACTTTTTATATAAATATATCTTACAATATATACCATATTTTTTTTAAGTACAATATGTGGGGATGAKGATCAAACTCACAACTTCTTAATTTAAGATATATGTTAATTAATGTTCACTTTGACTACAATATATCGTCATTAGTAAAATAGTTACATGCTTATTCACGATAGAAATTAGAATGGATTAAAAGCTAATGAGAACTTTTTGTTTTCATTTAAAAATCCTATTCTATCTCTTAATCAAACAAGTATTTAATTTTTAATAAAAATTACCAAAAAATTCTCATTAAAAATTTGGTAAGTTTGTTAAAATATCAGGTGCTTTTTTAATTTTAATACAAATGAATTATTGACATAAATTTATTTTTTCTAAAACATATCCTATTGATTTTAATTATTTAATCTATTTTCTAGATATTATAATTACAGTATTCTAAGTTAGAATACCTCGCGTTTTTATAGAAAATTTGACTCTAGGGCATCTAGAAAACTAGTTTTAAAATATATATTTTTTTTCATTATAGTTTCTAAAAACTATGGTCCAAATTAGGAGCTAAAAGGGAATAAGTTCAAATCTCATCATACCACATATCTTAGGATTTAGTAATTATTTTGTGTTTTCTGGTACTAAATATTTTATGGTCAGACGGTTACCCCGTGAGATTAGTCGATGTAAGCTAATTCGAACACTCATGAATATAAAAAAGAAAAGAAAAACTAGGGTCTATCTAATGATTAGCAAGATTAAAGTTTACTTAAGTGCACATTTTTACTAATATGTAATTTTGGAAGAATATTGAGAAAGCTTAATTTATTTATTTTTGTAAATATCCATAAAAACACACTAAAAGATATCAGAAAACAAAATTTAGAGAATATTTCTTGAAATACGTTTTTACTGAAATATTATTCTTAAAAGTAGAATACTATATATTCAGAAAACAGCTACAAAATGTTGTTTTAGACTTTAAGGGCTTTATTTCAAGAATTACATTATTTACAGCAGTGTGGAATATAGTATAATATTACTAAGATTATATTATTCCTTGGAATGTCACACATAAACTTAGCTTAGTTCACCCTTAAAATATGAAACCTAATATTGTCAATAATTGGGGATATTATGCCACATTTGTAAAATATTGCCAAACATGAGTTTAATTAAGTTAGAATTGGTATCACTCTTTTCTACATGAGTTTGAACATTCGTATCYACATGTTTTTTTACTAAAAAAATTTAGRTTTTTTATTTTTTATTTTTAAGATTAGTTTTTAATAGAATTGAGAYCTCGATGTTTTTATTTATGTTTACATTAAAATTATTGGAAGATAGAATTGCTTTGTGTGGGTGCATATATATTAGAAATAAATACTGTGAGAAATTAATAACATGCAGAGATCAATGAAAAAAAAATTAGAAAGAAGCTAAAGCTAGTGCATAAGATAAGGACGGGTATTAAAACAAGTTAATGAGAAATATCATATGTTAAATGGATCCGTGAAAAAAGAAAAAGAAAACCCCTTGAGCTTAATGAGATATATTTGTACGAGATAAATTAGGTATCTAAACAAATTATCCTGGTGTTCATAAGATTTGTTTTTTAGGAAAAGAACTATTGTAGCAGAACATCAAAATTATAAAATATTTTATCATAAAAAATATTTTTATTARAGTAATCATAAATAGAAATGATTGGACTAAAAACACTCCCTACCCGTTTCCAAACACAAATGTTTGAAGAGCCAATTTGAGTGGCATCGATATAACCTTTAGTTACGGTTTGAATTTTTAAATTTATAATGTAATAATATTCTTGGAACATGGTTGATGCATTATGAACCACTTTTTTTAGTACTTGGAAATACTACTGAGCTATGCTCGGCCACTCTGAACCACCGTTAATTGAATAAAGTTTTTTTGAAAAAAGAAAAACAAACTAATTAGAATGAGATCATAGAGGGCGAAATTAATTTTTTCTTTTTTCTTTTAAAATTGATCGGTTGGATTAATGGTCCCCCCACCCGCTGTTGATGCCCTCCGCCGTTGGCCGGGCCGACTGATTCAGTCGGTTTCTTGATCGAAAAGTTTGATTTGTTCAAGTTTTTGAGCACATAAAAGTTAAAGAAATTAGAACCGTTGGTTTCTCCGGGGCCGCGGCGGAGCATGAGGCTGAATAATTAATTAAAAAGGGCCGAAAACTAACCAGCTGAGGTTGCGTCAACCACGTCCTGTGAATCTCTAAAATGTACGACCAAGTTGTTGCGATTATTGGGATGCGCCGCATAGAAATCCGCCAGTGCCATTGTGATGCATTTTTGTGCCGCCCCACCGATGGATGGAGTCAGCTCATCAACAACTGCTCCTACGTGTATCAAATTCACCTTCGACCTCGTCCTGTTTCCATCCATTATCCCCTCATTTTGGGTATCTTTTTTGGATGCACAACTCAGCCCAAACAAAATCAACCAAATTAATATTACAGCTTTACTGATCATGATCACCTTCATCTCCCTTTCACTTTCATTAGTGTCTTCCGGCTCCTGTCTCCCTTCATATTTATACCCATTTCCTGATCCCTTACGTGTTCCAATTTCTTCATTATGAATTTTCACGAATCTTCTTCCAAGGCATATCCGGAATCTGGAAGAGAAAAAAAAAACACCAGTTGGACGAAAGTCATGCCCTTTTTTACAATCGTCGACAAGACGGGTGCAAGTGTCCTCTTGACTTCCATTCCCAGAACCAAAAAAAAAAGGTGTTCTGATCTTTCATTTTCACCGTCAAGGAAAATTCGATGGCTGTTTCCATGAATGAGATACGGAGAAAGTGACAAGTACATCGTTTATGCAATTTCTGGGAAAATTTTGTCTACCAAACAAACATCTGATGTCTCCAAGTTGATCAAGCCAAATTGAGCAATCCAGGAGTTCTTTGTGAATTTGTTTTTTTAATTTCAATATAAAAATAGGTTAACCGCATAAATTAAAATAATTGTAGAGTTAATTAAGTCATCTTCGACAAACCCATGATCCAAACACACAAATCACCTGCAAGTCAAAAWTTTTTTTTTCAAATAAAGCTTTGGACTAAATTCATTGTGGTCCAAACGCTGCATTTTACTTTACTTAATGGCGAATCTGCAGCTCCAACGGTAGAGATCGATCGATGAACCAGAGGTTATTTGGTTTAATTTTCGCTGGTCAAATGATACTGCAATTTCTCGGAAAAATCTTGTGATTTGGGTAATTATGAAGTTTCTGAGGAATGGAAGCTGGGTTCTGTGCATGTTCTAGGAAATAGTCCAGCTAGCTCTGTGCCTTGGTATCTTAAAAATAACAACAAACACAATTGACAAATTTGAAGGCAAATTAGAATATTGAATGGGGTTATCGTTTTTTCCTTTTTTAACTGCTATGATGCATCCTGGGTCCATTCCGTTTGGCGCGATTAATTTATGATATATGGTTCTTTCGAACTCAATTAACAAATTTTCTGGACGACTTTTGATCGAACACTTCTAATAATGTTTCAGGTATCAGTTCACTTTTGCAAGATAATTTTGCGGTTCCTTAATTGGGATTTTTCCCAAAAATAAAGGACAAGGCTAGTTAAGAAGTTGTCACACTTTTTTTAGAGATTGTTGTTACTTTGGTCATTGAATATAGTAAATCTCTCTAAACATCTGTGGTGGAAATATGCACTCAACATTGGATTTTTTTTTTTTTAAATACAACGTGTGAGAATAAAGATGAGAAACTTTTTTAAAAAATAAAAAATAAAATAAGTAAAGTTTAAGTTCAGGTTAGCAACTTTTTACTTAATTCACATATACATATATATGTTCATATCTCATTTGTAGGTTCATATATTAATAACTTTCTACTATCTACCATAATAATTAAAAATTCACTATATAAAGTACAAGTATAGTCATGTTAGCTACCCTCATCTAAGTTACCTCTAGCTCCTTCTATTTAGGACAATACTCTGGTTAAAAGAGTCAATCCATCAAGACTCGTTATTATTTTTTTTTTTTTGGTTTCAACATTGGAACATTTTATCAATAAGGAATAAGGATTAAGTTTGACGCATAACTATGATTTTATTTTTTCTAGGATAAATGATTACCTCTTCAAAGTTACTATTGTGATATGGTCTGATTTTATTATTTAAAGTATCAGTTGTGTCGATATGAAGAGCAAATCGACATTTCCATCCTATTAAAAAAAGACAAAATATAAAAACATCAACAAAATTTGACTAATATTATACATGGAAAATTTTTATTTGTTAATTTAAATTCTTTTTACTATTTTTTAATTTCTCTAATTTTTACAGAAATATATATCGACATTTTATCAATATTTTCATGAAATTGACAATCGGCCATATGTTTAAAAATTTGGGTGGAGTAGGTCTAATTTAATATTTTTAAAAAATGTTAATTTTAATTTTTATTATTAACTTTTTTAATTGGATCCAACTTACAATTTCTTGATTTGGTAGGAGGCATATGTGAATTATTTTTTATTTTGGAAGCGCTAATTTCGAAAATAAAAGTCGTGCCATATATATAATTAGGGCTGGACTAAATTGCGCGCGGTGCTTCCATTTTCAGTATCGGTCTCCATAGACTGCAAGTGAAGTGAAAGTGCTAGGGTTTCGTATCTCCTAAAGTCTAAGCGCCAAGGCCCTCTCACCGCCGAAGCAAATTCGATAGCCATGGCGAGCACCAAAGTGCAGAGGATTATGACCCAGCCGATTGTACGTATATCTATTCATCGTTCTTCCTTCGTTGACTTTACTTTGGAGCTGGATTTCTGCGCTTTACTGATGGTTTCCCTATCTGTCCTTTTTTTTTTGTTTGTTTGTTCCCGGTCCTACTTTGGAACCAGAACTTGATATTCAGATTTCTTCAAAGTGTAAGAACTTACTTTTCCAAATTAATTATTTTACCTGTCTGTTCCTAGCATAATTTGGTTTTCTGATTCTTGTTTGAAACCAATGCAGAAAGCCCGTATTCAGATTTGGCTATTTGAGCAAAAGGACCTTAGGATCGAAGGCCGAATTATTGTAAGATTTTATTTATTGTTGGTTTATATATATTGGTATTAGCAATTAATGTACCTGGGAATGAAGCCTCTGTTTGTGTATATGTTGATCTTCTGATTTTAGTTAAATGAGTTTACAGCATTCTAGTTTTATGCTTATGATTGATAGACACTCCGACTTACTCTAATCTGCTCCTTACTGAAATTATGTTTTGAGCACAGGACGTGACTGAATGTGTCGGAAAGTTCTTACGTGCTCTGGCTTAGGACATAAGATTCTACTTCACATTATCCATTTCAAATTTCTAGAGTTGAAACAAATTCTGGGTGTGTAGGCAGTTTAATTGTTGCAAGTTGAATTTGAACCTACTTGAAATCCATGTTCCAAAATAAATTGGCATGCCTTCTAGATTGCGCGTTGGTATTTTGTTTGCATTTTAGAGTGCCTTTAAGGGTTATGCAGAAACATGCTGAAAACTGGGCGTCTCTGGGACATAGTTTGAAGTTACTGCTTATATAGGTTGTCACCCACACTTCCTCAAGGAATAGGAATGGACCATAGTACATAGTTGTAATTTCTCTATTTCTTGTGTAGCTAGTGAAAGTTTTTAGGGTCTCAGTTTTACTTTTGGAGATACAAAGTCTCTAATGGAAATATTTTTGCAATCAGAATGGCCCTTCAATAGTCTTCATTATCTTTTGAACTTTTAGTAGCTTAAATTTAAGGTAACCTATGGTAGCCCATCTTTCCTTTAAGAATTAGCCAGTGGTGTAAATAGTTGTTGTATTTGTTCTGTTATTTACTATGGTGGAGGTGGCCACCAGGCACCAATTTTAGAGTTGGAATCTGATGGGCCTTAGCTGATGTATAGAACACAGTGTTATATCGGTATTCTCTCCAATGTGACCAAACCATTTGGGTCGAAACTCTAGTTTCCCTAAAGTGAACTAGTCAAGTACTTCTGAGATTTGCGGTATTTCTCTTAAGAGGTCTTCTAATATGGTTAGATCAGTTAACTAAGTATATGGATTGATGTGGTCAAGGTCTCATGGCTTCTTCATCATCTTTTTAGAACTCTACCCTTTTCTTGTTGCATTATTTATGCCCTTCTATTTTAAGCATGGCCCACTTCCATTTGGTCAGTTTTGGGGTTCATTAGCAGCTTGACTATTTCATATTCCCTATAACACAAACAAAAGATTTTCATCTGTCACTACCACCATGAAGTCACTGCCACCGTGAAGTCAGCTTATTCTTCTATCGAAGATTGTGCCTTGTTCTACACTCGATTAAGCTTGATTCATATTTCTTTTGTGCTGCATTCAACCTGTCAATATATGACGTATGGCGATAAATTATACACAAATGATATCCTCTGAATTTTTAGATGAATTACAAAAATTGTTAACTAATTTTTTTGGGGTTCATTATTTCTCATACGAACACAGTGAATCTTTAGTCTCTTTACTTCTGATTTTTTTTCCTTTTTTTAATCTTTGATGTGCTAATGGTGTGATACCTTTTGCTATATTGAGTCATGACTGAACACAATTGAATGTAGTTGCATATTTCAGGTCCTTTTTGTCTGTTCTTGTTTTTGCTAATTATTGCCATGTAATAGCTTTTAAATGCAATTTTATTAGATGATACTTTTCGTGCATCTCTTGCTTCTAAGCTAGTAAATTACTGTGAAAAAGGGCCTTGAGGTATCCCAGAACCCTTACGAAGAGTTCGCAGCTTCTGGAGGCAGAAGAAATAGCACCAGCAGCAGAGTGAGAGAGTAGAAGGCTAGAAGCCTAGGTTGCTCCTGTGGCCGACCCTACTTAGCCGCCTTTCTCCTTTATTAGTGTATAAGGGTGTCACTTCGTTAGCATTTCTATCATCCATGACTTG